CGTATTCGCACGCACGGGTGGTGAATCCGCAGACCGCACGCAGAAAAAGTTTTACATGCACTTAAAGGCCTTTTCACAACCCGCCGTACGTGCTTCTGCGTGCTGTCTACATGCAAAAACGTGGGAAAACGTAGAGCATCCGTGCTTGGTGAGTACCGCCTCCGTACTGAATCCTACGGATTTGGGAGCACGCAGACACGCCGTAGAACTTTAAGTGCATGAAAAAATTTTTCTGTGTGCAGTCTGTGGATTCACCACCCGTGCGAGTACGAGCGACGCGCGTGCCCCGTACGTGCCGTACGGAAGAATCACGTGTGAGTACGGCGTAATTACGGTAAAGTTGCAATCGCACAGAGCTCGTACGTTGTAAGCACGTACAACTCACTTACCACTTGCGCATCGAACGATGCACGCAACCGCTCACGGCCAGACGTGGCGTGCAGACCACACTCTTACACCTTGCGCAACCAGTGCGAGTGACGTGTGTCGACGCCACTCCTTCCCCGTGTTTTCAGAAGAACGTAGCAGACGTGGCCTCCCAATAAAACGTACGGGCAAAAAGCACGCATGGTGGGTTGTGGCCGAGCCTTTAAGTGGGTAATCCCTTGTGTGACAGAAGTAACCCATCAGAGACACCGTGGCTGCTTGGCGGTAGAGCCAATACAGCCTGGGCGCGCGAGCGTTCAAAACACTGTCCGCCTGTTGGATCAGTTTTCGGCAAGAAATGTGTGATTTAAACCAAGCGTCTCTTAATTACAAGGCTTTTCTTAACGCTAGTGGTGTATCGAGGTACGTAATTACCATTACACAGCTTTAACAATGTTTAAATGCTTCGTTATTTACCGACAGCACATATTTACTAAACTATAATGTTTGTCAATCTAATTCTCTGTGGTTGGCCATGACATGCGTTATACACTTTAAACCGGGTTATCTTAATCACAACAATAATCTCTATTTAAACATGCATGCTAAGTACGCAAAATGTTTGTAAAACTCACAATGTTACCTTGGTTACAATTGACTCCCGTCCACCCTCTATAACAGTAGCAGTCGTAGCTGTCAGCAAGGTTGTAGCACGAGCCGTGTTCACATGGACGTGAATAGCAGTAGTCTACCTCTGTGTGATTAACAGCGAAAAAAAAATTAGCGTAGAGCCCTCTATCATATACATGTATACATTGGTAATGCTTCGGTCCCAATTGAAAAAAGGGGCCCTGCCGGGTAGTTCCCGGGCTGTTTTATGGCACTTTCGGGCGTGACCCAACGTGGCCCCGCGGGACACCCTGCGGCTACCAGGCTATTTTTCGGCCCGGTGGGGACCCGAAAGGAATTTAATTCTGACTTAAATTCTACCCGGGCCCCGCTGACAAAAAGACGCCATGACCGAGCCGAGAGAACACCGACAGGTACCCCTCCGGTTGCCGGCAGTCCACCGGGACACATTTCTTACGTCAGAGTAGACCAGATGAACAGAATAAAGGTGTATACTTCGTAAACCCGGGTAAAAAGTGTGACGTCACAGATCAAATGATCACAACAAAAGCGTGAATTCTGCTTTACTCATAGTTCAGTTCAAGACATCTTCGAATTCAGAGAATCTGCCGGATACCTGCCGGAAACCGACCAAAAGCGTGACAAAATTTTCAACAAAATGCTGCTGAAGGAAACTTTTAATTGTGACCATGACAGCCGATGCTCGCCCGACCCCTGAGCCCGACCGGGGCCGGCCGGGGCTACATCCCCGACGGGCACCGGCGCAATTGGGACCGAAGCTTAACATCCTAGATCTACCTGGAGATCCATCCGCCGAGGCGCTACGCGCAGTGGGGACGCGTGCGGCCTGAATGAATGAACAAAGGAATAATATTCCAAATTCATTATTCTGCAATGTCCAGATCGCGAGTTAGGCCACACTGACTTAATTTTATGGATGACATCCTTTGAAGACCCCCAAACTAGTGCGCGCGGGTGAATAAAAATAATTCCGGCCAAAAATAGATATGATGCTAAGTCAATACAAATCTGGTATCGTGAATTTGCGGTAGTACATAGCGACGTATACGGCAAGCTGGCACATGCTGGCTTTTTGCGGAATTTATGTATCGGCACTGTATTGAGTTCTTGAGTCGTTGAGCTTCGGTAGCCTGGATGCCCGGCTCCGTATTGTCGCTAAGTACCATGGACTACCCAGGCCTAGAGCCAGACCAGAGCCTCGATGGACGTGATCTAATTTTTTTTTTTAGAAAAGGCGAAAATCAATGCGCGCGCGGATGTCATCCATAAAATTAAGTCGGTGTGGCCTTATTAAAACCGGATGTTGCGCTGCAGTACCAAGGACAGTCAAAAACTTATTATTTCCAGTTTTCGCCTCAGGCTACCAACACAGCAAGTATAAATCCAATCCACTTAGGCGTTCTTGAGTTATCGTGTTGATTAACAGACGTACGTAACTGAAAATATAACCTCCATGACATGTCATTGACATTAAGGTAATAAGTCCAACAAGAGAAATTAATGATTTCATACCTCCGTTTTTTTAATATTTTTATTTTATATGACGTATTGTTATGTCTAGTGGACCTGTTGAAAAAAGAAAGAAGTTTCCCGTGGATAACGGCTTATATGCCGAAAAAGCTTACTAATTCAAATTTATGCGAATGCATTGAAATCACATATAGAATGCAGCTATTTGGGTCATCATGATCATGCGACAGAACAGATGTCCGCAGACTAATACAAAAACCCTTCGCGATCAACGTTACCATGCCTAAAAATACTACATCCATTTTGTTGCTGTTGTTAAATTCAAAATCTATTTACTTATCTTTAATGGTCACTGAGAATTAGGGAGTGATACAGTGCGTGACAATCACGCAATACCGGCAACTTACTACCCACTAGTTGGAACCTTGGTCAAATTTAAACCCCGACGCGGAACCTTACATACTTAAAATATATGAACCTACTATTTTAAAACACTACAATTACAGAACCCCCTCCTTAATTATGCAAATTAAGGGTATAATTGCATAATTTGCTTTTAATTATGCGCATCTCTCACCTACATACCAAAATTGACGAATACACGTTGTTCCGTTCTGAACTAATCCGCATTTAATAATTCAGCACGGAATCCAAAGCAGTTCCAGAACAGACCCCTAGGGGTACAAAATCTATACCGCACCACTTATTCCTGCCCCAAAAAAGGCAAGACTATATCATATTTAGGATAAAAGATACAAAAACAGGAATTTCTGCGGCAGTACCGAGGTCAGCCACCATATTTGATCTTGACCTTTGTCTTCCTAAGACCTACCACCATACCATATATCATCACAATCCATAAAGGCGTTCTAAAGTCATGATGATTACATATGTGCGGAAACACACAGAGACAGACAGACACACACACACACACACACACACACACACACACACACACACACACACACACAGACACACACACACAGAGAGAGAGAGAGAGAGGGAGACACACACACACACACACACAAACACAAACACAGACAGAAAAATACCTCGGAGTCCATTTTTCATGGAGGTAACAAGTCGTTTGATGCAATATAGCCAACTGCCGCCGCGCCACGTATCTGCGAAGTTTGTGTATTACCGATTGACGGATATACGAGGGGTGATCCAAAAGTTCTCGGCCTCTCCCAAAAAACGTGATGGCAGAAAATTTTTATTACACTATTTTTTAACATAGTCTCCTCTAACTTCAATGCACTTGGTCCAGTGATGTTCCAGCTTTCCTTTCCCTTGTGGAAGAATATTTCGTCTGAAGCCCTTAAAAATACCTAAACCACATCAATGATGACATCATTACCATGATAACGTTGACCACGTAAGTGAACTTGAGTTTAGGAAACAGGTAGAAGGCCCACGGTGCTAGGTCAGGTGACTAGGAAGAGTGGGGTAAGACTTCAAAGCCAAATTCGTTTGCTGCTGTCACTGACCCCTGTGCTGTCTGGACAGGTGCATTGACAGCACGTCAACTCGGAGCTTTTCTCCCCCTTTCTCTGTGATTGTTGCCCTCAAATGCCGCAATTCTGGTGCACAGTACACCCCATTGATGGTTTGACCCTTTTGCAGGGAGTCAATAATGATTACCCCCTCACTGTCTCAGAAAACAGAGGCAAAAACCTTTTCAACGGGTAAAACTCGCTTGGGATGCTGGGAACCGTTCTTCATCAATTATTTGCTCGGCTGTTTTGATTCGGGGTGAAAGTGGTGAACCCATGTCTCATATTGGGTGACAAATCGTTTGAGTGAGTTGCCTTGATGGACTGAATTCGTTCCTTGAAATGCCCAGCCTGTTTAACGTCTGATGTTCAGACAACATTCTAGACGACATCATGCAGACAGGTTGCTCATCCCCAGGATGTCTGACAAAACATTGGGAACTGTACCACAAGTCAGGCCAAAGACCCTGCTACACGTTGGACAGTCTCACATCTGTCATTTACTACCATGTGATGGATGGCCTCAACTAGATTGTCCATGGTGCTGATTTATGGCATCCTGACATATGTTCATCTTTTGTGCTCTCCTTGACGCGCTTAGAGCTAGCAACCCACTTCTTTGTGGTTAAAAAAGATTGTGTGTCATCACCAAGTGACTTGATCATGTCTTTATGGATTTCCCTAGGAGACATAGCTTTTTATCGATACACTTGATCACAGAACACACTTCTGTTACGGCCATTTTGTGATTTTGCCCTCACCCGCCCCATTTTCATGGGGCGTCACGTGCTAATTAATGAATATAAAAATTTGCATTTTTGTGGGCAGTGATGTAAGACGTCATAGTATACAGTTATACCAAAGAATACGCGTTTGACCTCTATTTTCTAGGTGAGGCCAAGAACTTTTGGATCACCCCTCGTACATATACGGATATTAGGTGCAAATAAGTCAATTAGATGGTATGTATAAAGTGTTTGCCAATTATATATGCAGTGGCGAGCTCACCGTCACAATTGGACCCGGTCCATCCCTCCGGACAACGACATGAGCCGACGGGAGATTTGTTGCCCCATTGAGACGACAAATAGCAAATTCCAGGGCTACAATCTACAGGGCAGCCTTCATCAAGGCCAAAGAAGGAATTGAAGAAGTTTTGGGTTAATTTTAGCAATAGTAAAATTGTAGCCTGGATCACGGTTGGATTGTAAAATAATACTTTTCTTATTTTCTTAGTTCTATCTGGTTGTTAACTCCATGTAAAGTCAATTCATGTAAACATTTCTAATAACACAGAAAGACATATCAATTCAAGTTCATTCTTTCCTTATTGTGCTATTGAATGATATGGAGCGGTGTATAATGCTGATATGTGTATAAATTTTATACACTTATTAATAATAACTAACTTCTATATGTTTATTAGTTTGTCGTGTATATGGAAAATATTTTACTCATTAGAATTTACAATGCATTAACTAGATAGATAACTAGGCGATATATCCTTGTTGTGTATTAAACAGCTAGCTAAAATCTTTGTCAGAATAGTGTTTTTAAATCGAGTTTGAGCCCCGCTCATATTATGATTCCGATGGATACCACAAGACCGTTACATTGTTAAAACACTTATCAATTTCGTATTTAGTACTTGTATGACATGATTTTAATTATATATATATAATGTGCATTCCTTAGGAATCACTTATGCTCCAATCGAAACGTTGTTTTGATATGGAAGTGAATACCTGTTTGACACTGGTTCGTTTGACACTAGTAGTGAGAGGAAAATATCTATTTATAACAGTTTATTACCTAAGACAATTACTGTTTTACAGGTAAAAGGAACATCCAAAATTGTGACTTACCCCCAATCCAACTACCGGTAGTGATAGTGGTAGCGGCAGTAGTCCAAATGACGTTGGTCGTTGTCGTTGGTCTAAAGGTGGTTTTTACCGTTCCTTGTCTAGGTAGCCCTGCAAAGTCTGTGCTGCTTTCGAAGGTCCCTTCGCCTTTGGCCATCAAATAAAAACGCTGATGTAAAATATAGTGTTTATGCATGAATTTGAAGTAACCGATACTATAATGGCTTTTATCTAGAGAAACATAATGCAAAGGTAGGGCCTACTTCTGGCCCTAAATTAAGTCTGTTGTGTTGACTTTACCTTTGGTGCAAACTAGAATAGAGAGCAAGAGGGGTGGGGTCGTTCGTTTTTCGGACAACTCTCTAAGAAATCTTAATCCCTCAACATGTGTAATAACCGATGTACATCCACGGTAAATCACAAAATTATTTTTTTGCAAATCATATACGGTGTAGTGGTTATGAGAGGGTTTACGCACTTTAATTCAAAATCTTTAGTTAAAAAAATGAGTAACATTGCTCGTGACCTAACCATATGGTAATTTTTGGACTTTTCGCAATGCCCTTGACAAATGACAAAACAGAACAATTTATCATATGATATAGATGGCATATCATAAGAAATGTTAAAAACCATAAAAAGTCTTAAAAAGAAGAAAGTATCCTTGTACTGTTGTGGTTGTATTGTGCAGCAAACCAAGTTCTGTTCGGAAGCATTTGAGTATAGAAGGAAGCCAGAAGTGCATTGCCCTAATATTAATGAAACAAGTATAAATTTAAGCAAGAAAATATGAAAGCTTTTAAGCCATTTACAAAGGAACCGGAGCTTTGACGTCTGTACAAACCTACTGCCAACGCAGGGAAGGCCACTAGAGCCGCAACCAGGAGAGCCACCCACATCTTATGAACCGTCCGTTGAGTGAGGACTTTGTAATATGTATGATCATTGTAATTGCATATTTTGGTCTATAGCCTAGAAGGGTGTGTTGCAAGGTCATGTGAACCACACAGCTGGTGAATGTGGACTGGGGCAGAAAAGCGGTGAACTAATATTGGTTATCCGTGATAAGTTTCATCAGGTTGGTAAGTCACTGAGTAAAGAGACTCTTTTTGCACAACCAAGTCTTTTACTCAGCCGACGTTTCGGTAGCCGTCTGTCACCTTCCTCAGGGTAGTTGCCTTCGACAGAAGGCTATGGAATCGTTTTTGCACTGTTTTGCAGATTATGCACGATAAAGTTTGAAGGCATGGTCCGTGGTTCACGATTTTTGGCAGGCAGGTTGTCTTAGTGACGGGCATTGTGATGGCCAGAAATGGGCTTCGGGAGGGGGGGTTCTTACGTGACTGGAGCTGACCTTTTGTGTTTGCGTTTTTTGTTGTTCGTCGAATAACTCGGGAATCCTTAAGTAGTTGTCTATGGTTTTCAGTGGGCAAGTCGCCCTTGAGAATACGGAGGTCAAGTTCTGATATGGACCTCGTGGGGGTTCCCATGTCATTGAATTTGACCTTTTGTGGTGGTCTTTATTGTTGTTAGCGGGATAATTCGTGAATCTGCAAATGGATGTTCACGATTTTTGCTGAGCAAGTTACCGTTGACGATAGGAAGATCAAGTTCAGAAAGGGGCGTCGTGGGAGGTCCGTACGTTACTGCAGTAACACTGGTCACTTTAAATTTGGAAAAGACACCAGCAACCCCAAGTATGAAATTCCAGGCAGTTAGCAGTTAGCAGCTGCAGTACCACAACAAGCCGCTAGGGGGTCCAAAGTCTAATCAATTCTAGGTCTCATCAAGACCTACCCACCTACCAAATATCAAGATAATCCACCTAAGCTTTCTCAAGTTATGCTGTTGACAGACGATAGGCTATCAAAAACTCATCTGTAAATCCTCAAATACACAAAAGGTAAAATCCCCAAGCCATCGCTAATACACGCAGCTAATAGCAGGTAACAAGATCACAAGTTTTTAAAGGCCAATAACAGGTCAAACCATGAAAAATGTCAGACTTTTTGGCCATATTTTAAAAATATACATTCTTCTGTCCTTCTTACCAGAAAACTGGGCCTTTCTGAGCAAAATTTGCCCAGGAAAAAAATTATCTAAAAAAGAAGTCCCAAATTTAAGCGCCCTCTACGGACGTGACCTGAACTGCAGCCGACTCACCCGGAAAGCCAGTTGCGTAATATGGCGCATTTATTGGTTTATTGTTTCAATTGAAAGCAATACACTAAAATACATTGCAGCAACTTGTACATAGTACAAGTCGCTGAATTATGCATATTAGGCAGTTACAAGAAATGAATAAAACACTTAATAAAATCTATAGAAACTACTATACATTGCAAAATGATTAAAATAATTAGACAATAATTATAATAAAAATTACCACACACTGATAGGTTACCTGACGTTGTTCAGAAGTGCAGTGAAGTATGGAATGGGGCTGTTTTTATATCTGTTGGATCTTGCCATCGGAATACAGAGCTGATTATTGCCCTTTAAATTTCTGTTGTGAACATCTTTCCGTAGCGGGGGCAACCAGTTTCTAAACGTCGGCGAATTCAACAGAGATTTGGCAAATTTAAGGCTTAGCGATTCTCGTCTAGTTTTCAAGGTACAGAGGCCAAAATGGGAAAGGGCTTCATCATAACATGAGTATTGAGGGCCTAAAATTATTCTTAGCGCACGTTTCTGTATTCGTTCTAATTTATCGGATTGTTGATGTATTATATTGGCATTCCATACAGGGGCAGCATATTCAACGGTTGGTCGTATATATAATAAATAGATTTCGCAAAGGTCGTTGATGGGAAGGCCGAAACGTTTTAATTTCTTTAACCAGTAGAGTCGTGAGCTTGCTTTTGTCGTAATGACCTCTACGTGCTTATCCCATTTCATATCCGCTGTCAACCACAGTCCAAGTATGCATGCCACTTCTGTATGCTCAAGGACTTTACCATTAAGAAGGATATCGGGGGGAGGAGGAGGGTCGTTAATAAAAGTGATGTTCATTATTTTGCACTTATCTTCATTTAGTGACATATGATTTTCTGACGACCACATTTCAAGTTGATTAACCGATGTTTGCATCGAGGTTGGTACACTTAATAATCTGCTTTCCTTTAAAGTCAGATCATCTACGTATTTCCATCCATCCACAAAAGATTCCGTTGCCTCATTTACAAATACTAAAAAGAGAACAGGCCCTAATTTGGTTCCCTGAGGAACTCCTGATGAAATTCTCTCCCAACCAGAAGTTGCGCCTCTGTACCGAACACACTGTGTACGTTCACTGAGAAAATCACTTATCCATGGTACAATAGAAGTACGTACACCACAAGTTAACAGTTTATGGATTAATACTGTATGATCAATTTTATCAAATGCCTTGCTAAAATCTGTTAACAGGACAGTCTGGATAGTTTTAGGGGTGTCGAAACCAAGAAGTATTGAGTCAACCAAACTAGTGAGGTAGTGAACAGATGATCGCCCCCTTCTACTGCCATATTGGTTAGGGTCAAGAACGTCGCTTATGTCAAGAAGGATCCATTTTGTGATAAAAGATTCAAACGTTTTTATCAAGATAGAAGTGAGTGATATGGGACGCAGATTTTCGACTGTTGCAGGACTTTTCTTTGGAATGGGTGAAATTATGGCTTCTTTCCACTGTTTGGGTATTCGTCCCTCATCCAAAGAGCAGTTGAAAATATGTGCCAATATATCACTCAATTCAACGGCAAAGGTTTTGACAATCTTGGGGGACAGATTATCGGGACCACAGCTTTTTCTTGCATCAATGCGTTTTAAAATTTCGTAGACCTCCCAGGAATGTACTTGTGGTGGTCTGGAAGGAGAAGGTAAGTAAGATGGCAATGATTCAGGATCTAAACATGGAAGTTGGTTAACGATGTCTGAAAAGTGACGATTGATCACATCAGCAATCTCCTTGTCCGTTAAAGACGTAGCGCTGGGGACAGAAACTGATAAGCTACGCCGAAAATTTAGTATATTTCGTAGATGCGTGTGCCACTTAGCTGGGTTCTCCTTCTTAAGCACCTGAATCTTACGCAAATAATGTCTTTTCTTTGCCTTCACACACAAGCGATTCACATTGTTTCTAAGCTTTCTATACAATGGCATATTTCCAGAGTGAAAAGCCCGCTGTCGCTTCTTGATAACAGCTTTAATTTGGGGAGTAATCCATTCGCAGAATCACCTTAGCAGACAAGGCTGTTAAGGTTGGCAGAGAGACTGTAACTCAGGTTAACATTTTGCCACCACAGCGTAGAACACTTCCATCACTCTTACTTAGTAATGCCCGATCACTGATTAATAAATTGGACGACCTGTCTGATATGCTGAACAATAATAAGATAGACATAGCCGTTATCACGGAAACCTGGTTCACTCACGAGCACCCGTCTGAGTGTACAGATGTTAGTGGTTTTAATTTGTTTTCTCGTTGTCGAAATGAAGGCCGCGGTGGAGGTGTGGCAATTTATGTTAAAGATCATATATCTGCGGAGACTCTAAATTTTATTGAAGTACCCACAGAACTTGAGTGTCTGTGGGTACTACTCAAACCTAACTGGTCGCCTCGTTCGATTTCTAATATTGCCATTTGTGCTGTCTATCACCCTCCAGCGTCTTCATACCATGAATTGCTCTGCAAACATCTCATAGACAGCATCTTCGACGGGATAGGGACTTTTTCCGCACTCCTCTTCTTCTCCATCTCCTGGCTGGGGTGCGTGGGGTGGGTGTGGCGCTGCGGATTTTACACTGTTTGTACATCATGTGGCAAGCTACCCCATGCTGCTAAGGATCTGTCATCATCATCATCATCATCAATCCAGGGTATTGTCACTCCTCTGGAGGAACCCCTCCCTTGACTCATTCCACTCTCTTCTCAGTCTGGCGTATCTGGGCCAAGCAGGGCCCAGGTGTTGCACAAGACTGTCCCTCCACCTCGTACATGGCCGTCCTCTGCGTCTCCTCCATTCCCGGGGTGTCCACTCAGTGGCTCTTAGTGTCCATCTGTTGTCTTGTAGTCTAGCTACATGTCCTGCCCAGCGGTGTTTTGCTGTGTTGACAGCAGTGATGATGTCGGTTACTCCTGTCTGGAGTCGGATCCAGGAGTTTCTTTTCCTGTCTCGCAGGATCTGTATATGAAATTTTTCTTCAGAGCGTTTGTTTTAGGTTCCATCAAACTGTAAGTGATTCTGCTGACGTGGCGTGTGTTGTAGATGTGGTGGTGGGATAAAGGACACAACTGTTTGTAGAGAACTTCTGGTTGGTGTGTGGCAAGGATCCTCTCCTGTTTTTTGACAGTCTGGTCTGACATGACAGAGACGCATGGAGATGTTGTACTGGGGTTTTAAATCAACGTTGTCCCATGTAGCCTCCTTTGCAGGTGTTCCGGGAGCGGTCGGTTTTTTTTAATCATTTGGGGGGGGGGCGCTTATTTGCAACTTGCACGATTTTCTAATCAAACGTACGTAGATCGAACGCATTAG